AAAGAGAGAGAAAGGGAGAGAGAGGGAGAGAGAATATCCCAAGCAGGCTCCATGCTGCCAGCACACAGCCGGATGCGGGACTTGAACCCATGATGCCGCAAGATCATAAGCCAAATCAAAAGTTGGACACTTAACCAACTTAGCCACCAAGGCGCCCCCTGACTGCATTTTTAAATTATTTTAACTATTTTGAAAAGGCAATTAAAACAGCTTGGTGGACACTACTAACATAACATTACTGCCAGATTAACTCACTTTTCTTGCAAACCTCAAAAATGAAGCCTGTCCTGTTATCTCTGTTTAATGGAAGGATATCCTGACATTTAAGACTATACCTTCTTAACAAACTACTCTTCTCTTTGTATATAAAGCATCCTGATAGAGGGTAACCAAAATCAAATACAGAAATAAACTAAAAGTTAGAATTACAAAACTTCTGGAAGAAAATATGGGAGAAAACCTTTGCAACTTTAATGTAAGAAAAGACTTCTTAGACAAAACATGAAATAAAAGGAAGTATTGACAAATTGGACTACTTCATGATGGCAAATGTTTGCTCTTTGAAAGATGTCATTAAAAAAATAAAAACAGGGGCGCCTGGGTGGCACAGTCGGTTGAGCCTCCGACTTCAGCCAGGTCACGCATCTGGCGGCCCCAGTGAGTTCGGCCTGCCAGGCTCTGGGCTGATGGCCACCAGAGCCTGGGAGCCTGTTTCCCATTCTGTGCCCCTCTCTCTCTGCCCTCCCCCGTTCATGCTCTGTCTCTCTCTGTCCCAAAAATAAATAAACGTTGAAAAAAAAATTTTTTTTTTAATAAATAAATAAAAACACCAGCCACAGAATATATTCAAGTTACATATATTTGATAAAGGACTTATATCCAAAATATGTAAAGAACTCTTACAATTCAATAAGACAAGCGCCCTAATATTTTTTAAACTGGGCAAGAGATTTAAATAGATGTTTTACAAAATGATATGTGTAAATGGTCAAGAAGTACAAGAAATTAATTTTCATGAAAATGCAAACTAAAACCACAATGTAATTGAAAATACTGACCATATCAAATGTAAGTGAGGATGTACAGTAACTAAAACCCTCATGCACTGCTGGTAGGAATGTAAAATCCTTTACATCCTTTAGAGATCACTTTAGAGAACAGTTTAGCAGTTTCTTAAAAAGTTAAACATACACCTAAATCAAATGACCAAGACATTCTATTCCTGGTTATTTACCAAAGTAAAATAAAAATCTATGTGCAAAGACACATATAAAGATGAATGTCCACAGCAACTTTATTTATAATGGGCCAAAAACTGTAAACATCCCAAATGTCAATTATCAGGTGAAAGGATAAACATGTAGTATGTCCATGCAATAACTACTACTCAGCCATAAAATGAATTAGTAATAAATGCAATGAGGATGATTTCAAAATCTTTATGCTGTGTGAAAGGAGCAGAAAACAAAAAAGTATGTATACAAATTTCATTTACATAAAATTCTAAAATATGCAACAATTTGTATGGAATTATGAATACGGAATATTGTATGGAATAATTATGGCCAAAGCAACCCTGAAGAAAAATAACAAAACTGCAGGTATTGCACTTCCTGATTTCAAACTATACTACAAAACAGCAGTGATAAAAACAGTATGTACTGGCATAAAAAGAGACATATAAGCCAACAGAACATAACAGGTAACCTAGAATTCAACTTCGGCATATACGGTCAACTAATATTCGACAAGGGAAGCCAGAACACTCAATAGGGAAATGACAGTCTATTCAACAAATGGTGTTCATGCAGAACAATAAAACCAGACCCCTATCTGACACCAGTCACAAAAATTAACTCCAAATGGATCAAAGACTTAAACATCAGACCCAACGCCATAAAACTCATAGAAGAAAACATAGGGAAGAAACTACTCAACATTGGTCTTGCCAATGATTTTTTGGATATGACACGAAAACCACAAATAACCAAAGATATATAAAGAACTCATATAACTCATTAACAAAAAAACAAGCCAATTAAAAAATGGGCATAGGATCTGAATAGACATTTTTCTACAGACATTCAAACGGCCAAGAGGTATATGAAAAGATGCTTAACATCGATAATCATCAGGGAAATGCAAATCAAAACCACAATGATGTTATCACCTCACACCTTTTAAATGGCTATCAAGAAAACAAGAGTAAGTAAGTATTGGCAAGGGTGTGAGGAAAGGGGGAACCCTCACACACTGTTGGTGGGAATATACATTGGTTCAAAGACTATGGAAAACATTATGGAGGTTCTCCAAGAAATTACATATAGATCTACCATATAATCCAGCAATTCCACTTCTGGGCATATACCTAAAGAAAATGAAAATAGGATATTGAAGAGATATACGCACTTCCATGTTTATTGCATCATTATTCACAATAGCCAAGATATGGAACAATATAAGTGCCCATCAACAGATGAATGTATGAATAAAGAAGATGTGGGGTGTGTGGGTGGGTGTGAATGAAATATTTCCATTTCCAACAACAGAGATGGACTTGAGTATATTGTGCTAACAAGTGAGGTAAGTCAGACAGTAAAAGACAAGTATCGTACAATATTACTTATATGTGAAATCTAAAAAAGCCAGACTTCTAAAAATAGAGAGTAAAACGGTGGTTACCAGAAAATGGGGGGTGAGAGGGGGTGATACAGGACAGGGTTATTTAAGGATACAAACTTGCAATGAGTAGCAAATAAGACCTGGAGAGCTAATGCACAGTATAGTGAATACAGACAATACCATATTATGACCATCAAACTTGCAAAGAAACTACAATTTAAATTATTCCAACCACTAAAAAGAAAAAATAATTACATAATGTGATAGAGGTGTTAGTTATTGTTACAATGGCAATCACATTACAATGTATAAATACATCAAATTAACACATTACAAACCTTAAATTTACACAATGTCATATGTCGAATATATTTCAATTAAAACAAATTCTAAAAAATACAACCTATAATTATAGAAAATGGAAAGAGATTTTCTAATCTACAACTAAGAGTTGTAGAGAGGACGGACACAAATGTGCTGAACCTTGACTGTAGGTTCATGGGTATCTACACCACTAAATTGTACATGCAGTTTACTAAAAACCTCAATAATGTTGATTGTTTTTAAAACTAGATGTTGAAGTGAGATGCTGATATAAGTCTGCAATTGGCATTAATTACATATTCTAAATATTAATGTTCATCAATATGGCCTTGTTTTCAGCAATTGACTCTATCAAAAATGTTGTAACTTTAATACGTTTCTAAAGGTATACCAATAAAGTATCATTTTCATGTCATTTCTGTAACAGGGTAAGAGTTCTTTCCAAAAGAAGGTTTTTGCTACTTAAAAAAAAAAAAATTAAAAACCCGTATCTTAGAGTTACCAACAACTAAACCAAATCACCTATTTCTACATTCATAGTAAATAATCATTAAAATTTAAAATAAAAACTTTAGGGGCGCCTGGGTGGCACAGTCGGTTGAGCCTCCGACTTCAGCCAGGTCACGATCTCGCGGTCCGTGGGTTCGAGCCCCGCGTCGGGCTCTGGGCTGATGGCTCAGAGCCTGGAGCCTGTTTCCGATTCTGTGTCTCCCTCTCTCTCTGCCCCTCCCCCGTTCATGCTCTGTCTCTCTCTGTCCCAAAAATAAATAAACATTGAAAAAAAATTTTTAAAAAAAATA